GCCCACTCTGGGCCTCAGTTTCCAGTCTCGAAATGGTGCCTCAGGCAGATTGGAGTGGCTCACACCTGTAATTCCAGCACTTTGGGAGGCTGAGGCAGGAGGATTACTTGAGATTACAGGTGTTTCAGACCAGCCTGGGCACCACCACCTCTACAACAAATTTAAGAGTTTAGCCAAATGTAGTGGTGTCTGCCGGTGGTCCCAGCTACTTGGGAGGCTGAAGGGGGAGAATCACTTAAGCATTCAAGGTTACAATGATTGCATCACTGGATTCCAGCCTGGGCGACAGAGTGAGACCCTGTCTCTAAAAAATGAAAATGGGCCGGGTGTGGTGGCTCACACCTGTAATCCTAGCACTTTGCGAGGCCAAGGCGGAAGGATCACTTGAAGTCAGGAGTTCGAGGCCAGCTTGGCCAACATGGTGAAACCCTGTCTCTACCAAAAATACAAAAATTAGCCAGCGTGGTGGTGCATGCCTGTAGTCCCAGCTACCCGGGAGGCTGAGGCAGGAAAATTGCTTGAACTTGGGAACAAATGAGATGCTGTCTCAAATAAAATAAAACAAAAAAATAGAACAAAGTAAAATATAAAAATAAAATAAAAAATGGGCTGGGTGCAGTGGCTTACCCCTGTAATCCCAGCACTTTGGGAGGTTGAGGCGGCTGGATCACCTGAGGTCAGGAGTTCGAGACCAGCCTGGCCAACGTGGTGAAACCCCATTTCTACTAAAAATACAAAAAATTATCCGGGCGTGGTGATGCCCACCTATGATCCTGGCTACTCCAGAGGCTGAGGCAGAATTGCTTGAACCTGGGAGATGGAGGTTGCAGTGAGCTGAGATCGTGCCACTGCACTCCAGCCTGGGCAACAGAGCAAGACTCCGTCTCAAAAAAAAAAAAAAAAATTAAAAAAATATTGCCGGGCACGGTGACTCAAGCCTGTAATCCCAGCACTTTGGGAGGCTGAGACGGGCGGATCACGAGGTCAGGAGATCGAGACCATCCTGGCTAACACGGCGAAACCCCATCTTTACTAAAAAAATACAAAAAACTAGCCGGGCGTGGTGGTGGGCGCCTGTAGTCCCAGCTACTGACGAGGCTGAGGCAGGAGAATGGCGTAAACCCGGGAGACGGAGCTTGCAGTGAGCTGAGATCCGGCCACTGCACTCCAGCCTGGGCGACAGACAGAGTGAGACTCCGTCTCAAAAAAAAAAAAAAAAGTTAAAGCAGTGCCTCACCCTCTCACATCAGCTACGCCTCGTGGCCCATGATGAGGTCTGTAATTATTGGTGTGATTCTCCTTCTGACTTCCTAGATGGGCACCAACAAGTTTGCCAGCCAGCAGGGCATGACGGCCTACGGCACCCGGCGCCACCTCTATGACCCCAAGCTGGGCACGGACCAGCCTCTGGACCAGGCGACCATCAGCCTGCAGATGGGCACCAACAAAGGAGCCAGCCAGGTGAGTGGGGGCCCCCGGGGCACGCCGTCAAAGCCCGGGACACTGGTCACCCCATGGCCTGACTACATCACCCTTTGCAGGCTGGCATGACCGCGCCAGGGACCAAGCGGCAGATCTTCGAGCCGGGGCTGGGCATGGAGCACTGCGACACGCTCAATGTCAGCCTGCAGATGGGCAGCAACAAGGGCGCCTCGCAGCGGGGCATGACGGTGTATGGGCTGCCACGCCAGGTCTATGACCCCAAGTACTGTCTGACGCCTGAGTACCCGGAGCTGGGCGAGCCCGCCCACAACCACCACGCACATAACTACTACAATTCCGCCTAGGGCCACGAGGCCTTCCCTGTTTTCCCCCCAAGGGAGGCTGCTGCTGCTCTTGGCTGGATCCAGCCAGACCCAGCCGACCCCCTCTCCCTGCATGGCATCCTCCAGCCCCTGTAGAACTCAACCTTTACAGGGTTAGAGTTTGGAGAGAGCAGACTGGGAGAATGGGGGGCCCACTGGGGGGAAGGGGACCCTCCGCTCTCTAGTGCTACGGGGTCCAACATAGAGCCGGGTGTCCTCAACAGCGCCCAAAGGACGCACTGAGCAAAGCTATTCCAGCTGTCCCCCCGCTCCCTCACAAGTGGGTACCCCCAGGACCAGAAGCTCCCCCAGCAAAGCCCCCAGAGCCCAGGCTCGGCCTGCCCCCACCGCATTCCCGTAGTGGGAGCAAACTGCATGCCCAGAGACCCAGCGGACACACGCGGTTTGGTTTGCAGCGACTGGCGTACTATGTGGATGTGACAGCAGCGTTTGTAACGCGAGCACTTTCTTTTTTTTTCTATTTCACTGGAGCACAATAAATGGCTGTAAAATCTCCTGAGGCCTCAGAGCTGCTCTGTTTTGGATACGCTCCATATCCCGCACACACATCTGCACAGACACACGTGCCCACACGCACCCTAAGATGCACATACACACTCACAAGCACCCTAAGACACACACCTCACTGTAGCCACTCAGACACAGGATAGGCACTCCATCACACCCACATGCAAAGTCCACACACCACACACACACTCCCCCTTTCACACACAGATACGCACACACATGCAGTACACACTCCTCATGACATGTAAAAAAGGCATAGCCAGCTGGGCACCGTGGCTCATGCCGGTAATCCCAGCACTTTGGGAGGCTGAGGTGGGAGGATCGCTTGAGGTCAGGAGTTCAAGACCAGACTGGCCAACATGGTGAAACCCTGTTTCTACTGAAAATACAAAAATTGGCGGGGCTTGGTGGTGCGTGACTGTAGTCCCAGCTACTTGGGAGGCTGAGGTAGGAGAATTGCTTGAGCCCTGGAGGTCTAGGCTGTAGTGAGCCAAGATGGCGCCACTGCATTCCAGCCTGGGCAACAGAGCAAGACTCTGTCTCAAAAAAAAAAAAAAAATATGGCACAGTCAGAAAGTCAATGCACACATACACATATACACACATGACCCACACTGCTCTCCCAGAGGCTTGTGGATGGTGGTGACAAAGAGCCTGAGTACTGGGACAGGCTGGATGGCATGTGAATCACAGAGCAACTGTCTGGGTGACCTCAGGCAGTCACTTCCCCTCCCCAGACCTGTTTTCCCATCAAAATAATGGGGACAGTGAGCCTCATGCGGTCACGAAATGACACCCCCAGATGGGGTGATATTCTACATGTTTAATCGCTGGTAAAGACCAGGTATCAATAGAGAAAGGATGACAAGTAGGGGTCCTGGTGGGCCTGTGGGCAGGGTGAACCCCTTAGCCCCAGACTGTGAGGAGGGGAAAGGGGACAGGGAGAGAGGCACTTCTGAGCCAGGGCAATGGCCCTTTACCGACTAGCACGGGGCACCATAGGGCACGGTTAATTTTGTGCACCCCGCCCACTCTCAGCCCTCTTAAGGCTAAGCCTGCCAACCCGGGACCCTAAAAGGCTGTGTCCAGGGCCTCAACCTCCTCATGTTTCAGAGGGGACCCTGTTATCCCCGGGAGGAGGGAGAGGTCCGCACCCATCAGGATTTCGAGGAGGAGAGGAGGCAGAGAAGCGAGGAGCGGGGCACGGAGCTGTCTTCTCCCCAGGGAGGGCAGGGGTTGAGGCTGGAACGTGGAGACCTGTGGAGGCAGACACCAGAAGACCCGCGCACAGACGCACGCAGCCCCTGGGGCCTCGTAAACCGGATTCCAGGCGCTCTTGGCTTAGCTACCACAAGTCCTGCTCCCCCAGGGCCGACGCAGGGAAGCTATGCTGAGGAGGATCCCGGCCTGGCCCAGGGCCCTGCCTCCTCGGGAAAACAGCACCATATTAGCACTTAGCCTCTGAGACTGGGGGTGGGCAGGCGGCAGGAAGGGCCCCGGGTGCCAGAGGAACAAGTCCCCTTTCTGTTGGATCCCAGAGAGCCACCATCTTAAACCTAGGTGCCTGTCTACCACACTGCCCATGTCTGTTGGCACCTGCCAGGGCTAGCGGACCTCACCTGGGATCTTGGAGGCCCAGGGAAGACGTGTCATGGCAGAGTGGGCCTGGGGGCGGCGCACAGGCCAGATGCAGCAGCCCAGTCTGGCAGCCAGGACTTCCGGGCCAGCTCAGTATCTCCCCCGGCTGTTCACATTCGTCCGTGCCCTGGGTGGGCCCCAGAGCTGCTCAAACCATGTCTGGCATTTCCATCCTCAGCATGGCTCCAGGAAGAAGATGCTTTCGTCCCCTGCACTGTGGCAACGAGGACTCTGAAGCACAGGTCACCTGCCACCCGGGCTCATGAGGCCAGGTGGAGGGTCCGGCACTGCCCCAGGTTGCTGGGTGTTGTGGTCTTTGTCACCGGTGTGACCAGCTGAGGGGACATCAGCCCTCAGCTGCTCCCCATCAGCCACACACATCCCGCCCCCACACCAGCCTTCTGAGAGTCCTCACCACCCTTGGACAAAGGTCCCTTTCATGTTTCCCTTCCCAGTGTCCCTCTTCCACCCACTACCTCCAGGACGGCCTGTGAGCTGGTTCCTCAGCCTGGACTCTGGGCTCACAAGAAGTCAGACTGTAAGTTGTGGAGCCTGGTTTCCTGGGTTCAGATCCCCCGTGCCACTTTCTGGCTGTAGGGTCTTGGGCCAGTGACCTCCTTCACCTCTAGCCTCAGTTTCCTCATCTTTGAACCTGGGGTTAGCTTGGCACCTGCCCCACAGGGTGGCTGTCAGGACACTGGGGTGATGCAGGCAAGGCCAGAGGTCAGCATCTGGCTAGAGGTGGCCCTACAATGTCACCACCTCAGCCTGCCCCTCCCAGAAGCCTCCTCTGACCACCTGTTCTGTCTCACCTACCCCATTTCCTAATATGACTGCTGTAAGCACCTGGCCAGATGTCTGCCTGCTCCACCACCCTGAATGCTTACTGACTGAATAAAATGCTGGGCGGTGTGAAGGGCTGGTCACATGCGCCACCAGGCCACCTCCCAAACGCTGGAACCTCAGGTCCCCTCTCCTTCTTCTGGTGACAAGGCAGACGCAGAACCCAAGACATCACGGACAGCAAGGGATGTGCGCTGGCTGCTTTATGTAAGGGCTTGTGATTGACAGCTGTCCCCACCCCAGCCCTTGCTTCCTCTACAAAAGCAACTGAACACAAAACTGGGCTTCCTTGTTAGCATGGGGAGGGGGGCGGCTCCCTGTCAGGGCCCAGCCCAGGGACCTGGGGAACGGTGGCTTTGAATCCCAGGCCACGGGCACTAGAAGGTGGAGAAGGAGGGCGGGAAGTCCAGTTGAGATGGGCACGGTGCTGGTGAGGAGGCTGGAGAGGTCCAGTTCCAGCCTCTACTGGGCTTCCCTTGTTCAGGATATCAGGAAACAGCCCCCCACTTCCACCGGGGGGGGAGCCAGAGCCCCAAAGCTGGGGGGCCAGGGGCTGAAGAAGGGAACACAGCAAAGGCTTTTGGAGCCAAGAGAGGTCAGTTCAGGCCCCTCAGGCCCAGGAACCCGCCACCACTGCGTATCTATGAACACACACTCACGGCCACCCCAGTGACACGTGCAGCCACACACACACCCACATCCACTCCACACTGGCACACACACCCACTCACACCCACGCCCACTCTACACACGCACACAGAGGGCTGTGACAGCCCAGGACCCACACCCTGGACCCCTGGAATGTCTCTGGACCAGAACCGAACAGCTGGGTCCACAGTAGGCGGGGCTGCTCAGGGGGTGGGTCCTCTGTGTTGCTACTGATTGGCTGCCTCGCAGGCGTCTATCCAATCACTGTACACATCCACGGGTTCTGACAGATCTGAGCCGCTTAGGTCAAGGGTGATCATTGGCATTGGAACCCTGCCCTGCACCTTCTCACCCCACATAAATCAGTAGGTGGCACCTGTTCCTCTGGACGGCCTTGGCCCTGCACCAGGGCACACAGTGGGCCAGAGGAGCAGGGTCTGGACTCCAGCCCCCTCCCCATCCTCTGGAAAAAGCCCAGGTTTCTAAGGATACACGTTATGGGCGTCTGGAATTCCTCTAGGCACACAGTACAAGAGATGACTCCGGTGTTGCGGGCACGGTCCCTGAAACAGACCAAGAGAAGGGACTGGTGAGCAATGCACCCAGGGCCTGTGGGTGATGACGCCTTCCCTAAGGGAGGCAAGGGGCAGGATGGAGAACAGCGGGGAGGAGGTGGTGGGGAGGATGGATCCCTTGCCCCGTTCCCCACTCACATTTTCACATCGCAGGATTTCTCGTGGTTGCAGAAGGGGCAGGTGAACTGGGTCTCAAGGGTGCCCGTCATCTTCTTCTTGGGAGGTGGCTTTCGTTTGGACTTTCTGCGCCCCATGTCTGCAGGTGGATGAGCCTGTGGGGAGTGGCAGATGTCAGTGGTTTGAGGAAACCACGCAGCCCCCCGCTCAATGCTCTAGAAAGCAGGCCGGAAAGAGGGTCTGGGACTTGCACTATGGTCCTGCGGCCTCTGCCCTTGAGCGACGAGGCCCTCAGTCCTGATACAGGAGGAAAATCCCCTGTCCCACTCTGGATGGAAGGGGTGAGCGGAGGCTCTAACCCCGTCTCTCTCACTTACTGCATGACCTGGACAGGTTACTTAAGCTCTCTGTGCCACAGTTTCCTCATCCATAAAACAGAGACAAGACCAGACATGGTGGCTCATACCTGTAATTCCAGACAGCACTTTGGGAAGCTAAGGTGAGAGGATCACTTGATGCCAGGAGCTGGATACCAGCCTGGGCAACAGAGTGAGGCATCATCTCTAAAAAAAAAAAAAAAAAAAAAGGAAAAAAGGTCGGGTGTGGTGACTCACGCTTGTTATCCCAGCACTTTGGGAGGCTGAGGCAGGTGGATCACGAGGTCAGGAGTTCGAGACTAGCCTGACCACCATGGTGAAACCCCATCTATACTAAAAATACAAAAATTAGCTGGGCGTAGTGGCGGGCGTCTATAACCCCAGCTACTCAGGAGGCTGAGGCAGGAGAATCGCTTGAGCCCGAGAGGCGGAGATTGCAGTAAGCCGAGATCACACCACTGCACTCCAGCCTGGGCGACAGCACGAGACTCCGTCTCAAAAAAAAAAAAAAAAAGATTGAAATAAGGTTGCTATCGCACGAGACACCGTCTCAAAAAAAAAAAAAAAAAAAAGATTGAGATAAGGTTGCTATCGCAGAGGAGACTTGTGAGGTTGACACCAGGAATGGTAAGTACTTAGCACAGAGCTGGCCCATCATCGCTGGCGACAATACAAGGAAGCCACTGTTCCTGGGGAGGGTGGCCCAAGAGACTCCAAGACAAGCCAGCTGTTCAGGGCCGGGTGGAGCCTAAGAGCCTAGGAGCTGGTGATTTTATACTGGCTGCTCCTCTTGTCAAGGGACATGTAAGTACCATCCACGAAGAGTGACACTCAGGGCATCTGATGGCCTCCATCCAGATGACAGACTACAGGGCAGAGAAGTGGGAACAAGCACCTCCGAGTAGAGGAACACTGTGTGAAGGCTCAGGGGCAGCTGTCTGTCCCCTGGCAGGTGGAGGAGAGAGGAGGGACAGGTGGGAGGGTTCTGGGTGTTTGGATGGATCCTGGGAGCTACAAGGAGTGAAACAGTAAAGTCACCCTGGGCTTTTGAGGGACTGCGGTGTGAGTCACAATCTGGATGAAGACAAAGGCACAGCCAGGACAGGGTTGTTGGGGTAGAGATGGCAGAGGGCGAGAGAGACAGAGGAGACATGGCAGCGGAGCGAGTGAGTATGACGAGAGGAGGAAAATCCAGGATGACTCCCAGGTTTGTGGTGGGGACACAGTGGCTAGGGGGAGAAGGTGGCATCATTCTCTGATGTGTAACATAGAGGAAGGACAGGGTTTTGGAGAAAATGATGGGGTTGGGTGGCAGAGGGATATCTAGGAACAGATGTCCAGGAGGCAGGTGGGTGGGGAAACAGCAGCAGTTACCACCGAGCCCAACTCCCCTGCTAGGCACGGTGCTCAGGGCACTGTGCTTGCCATCCCTGAGCCTCCTATGGCGCCTCCTCCAACACACACACACACACACACACACACACACACGACTGCTGGTTCTAGCATCGTTCCTCTGTGGCAGGGGAGGTCAGCAGTCTGCCAGGATCTTCCAGAATAAACAGTGGAGTTTCATTCATTATTTGCTGATCACTTCCTATGTAACACCCCCAACTCTTTTTGTTTGTTTGTTTGTTTGTTTGTTTTTGAGACGGAGTCTTGCTCTGCCACGCAGGCTGGAGTGCAGTAGTGTGATCTCGACTCACTGCAACCTCCGCCTCCCGGGTTCAGACGATTCTCCTGCCTCAGCCTCCTGAGTAGCTGGGACTACAGGCGTGTGCACTACCACGTGTGGCTAATTTTTTGTATTTTTAGTAGAGACGGGGTTTCACCGTGTTAGCCAGGATGGTCTCAATCTCCTGACCTCGTGATCCACCCACCTCGGCCTCCCAAAGTGCTGGGATTACAGGTGTGAGCCACCACACCTGGCCAACACCCCCAGCTCTTAACTGTGATGCTTCCAATTCACTGAGTAAATAGAAGCAATCCAAAGACAGCTCCTAGGACCAACTCATTCAGCCATCCACCCACCGTCTTTATTTATTTAAGAGATGAGGTCTCGCTCTGTTGCCCAGGCTAGAGTGCAGTGGCATGATCACAGCTTGCTGAAGCCTCAATCCTCTGGCCTCAGCCTACCCAGTAGCTGGGACAACAGGCGTGCACCACCACTCCCAGCTTCAGCATGCCTCCTTTACTATGGAAGTACGTTCCTGCAAAAACAATTTGTTCATTCTGCCCTGGCTCCCATCCCCTTTTCTTTGAGCAACATCAAATTTTCCAGCTCCACTGGATCACTCTCGCACACTTGTTATTACCTCTCTCTTCATTTAAAAAGGGGGAAAAAAAGAAAGTCTCTTCATCCTCTTCCAGCTATGATGCATTTCTTTGCAGACTGTTTTAGTGTACAGCCATCTGCATTCCTGTCCATCTCTCTACGCCTCTTGCCTCCAAACTTAGGTCACTGGTGGCTCTATACTGCAAATCCTAATGGCAGTCTTCTGATTTGAGGGATCCTTCCCCCTCTGAAAGCACATGTGGCTCTCAGGACCCCATGTGCTCCCTGTCCTCTGCCTCACTGGTGGCTCCTGCTAGTCTCCTATGCTCCTGCCTGTCTGCCAACTTGCTCTCATGAAGAGAGCACATGAGTTTGGGCCAGGTGCGGTGGCTCACGTCTGTAATCCCAGCATTTTGGGAGGCCGAGGTGGGCAGATCACTTGAGGTTAGGAGTTGAAGACCAGCCTGGCCAACATGGTGAAACCCCATTTCTACTAAAAATACAAAAATTAGTTGGGCATGGTGGCACACGCCTGTAATCCCAGCTACTAGAGAGGCTGAGGTAGGAGAATCGCTTGAACCTGGGGAGGTGGAGGTTTCAGTGAGCTGAGATCGTGAAACTGGCACTCCAGCCTGGGCAACAGAGCAAGACTCCATCTAAAAAAAAAAAAAAAAAAAGGCTGGGTGCACTGGTTCACACCCATAATCCCAGCACTTTGGGAGGCCAACGTGGGCAGATCACGAGGTCAGGAGTTCGAGACCAGCCTGACCAACATGGTGAAACCCCATCTCTCCTAAAAATATAAAATTAGTCAGGCGTGGTGGTGCATACCTGTAATCCCAGCTACTTGGGAGACTGAGGCAGGAGAACCACTTGAACCCAGGAGGCGGAGGTTACAGTGAGCCACCAAGGCACTCCAGCCTGGGCAATAGAGCAAAGAGCCCATGATTTTAATTGTTGGATCCTCTCCTTTCTGGCTATACTCACCTACATGAAGATTTCACCCAGTCTTAGGTGCCTGCTCTACACTGAGGACACCTGCTTCTCCAGCCTTGAGTCTGTCCTCTGAATTGCAGACTCTGATCTACTCTCCTCAGTCACTCCTCCACACTGATGTCACTTCACCTGATACTAAATATACATCGTCAAAAAACAGAGCCCCTGAACACTCAACCTGCTCTTCAAGTCTTCTCATCTCAGCTAACAGCATTCCATCTTTCCGGATAATCAAATCAAAACGATTCGCCGGGTGGTGGCTCACCTGTACAGCCTCTGGGAGGGGAGGCGGCGGTCACGAGGTCAGGAGACGAAACCTCACCTGGCCTACAACGTGGAAACCCTGTCTCTACTAAAATACAAAATTAGACCAGGCGTGGTGGCGGGTGCCTGTAGTCCCAGCTACTCGGGAGGTTGAGGCAGGAGAATGGCGTGAACCCAGGAGGCGGAGCTTGCAGTGAGCGGAGATCGCGCCACTGCACTCCAGCCTGGGCGACAGAGCGAGACTCTCCTCTCAAAAAAGAAACAAACGAAAAAAAAACAAACCTTGGATTCATCCTCAATGCCTTTTTCTCTCACACATCCCTTAGGCGATCCTCCCCCTGCCCATCTACCTCTGAAATACAAATTAGCCGCGGCACCATGACCAGCTAATTTCTGTATTTTTTGTAGAGACGGGCACCCACCATGTTGCCCAGGCTGGTCTGGAACTCCTGGGCTCAAGCGATACTCCCGCCTCGGCCTCCCAAAGTGCTGGCATTACATGCATGAGCCATTGTGCTCAGCAATAACCACTATTGAATACATCAATCAATCAGTTTGCTTGTAACTATCACTTTGGGAGGTCACGCCTGTAATCTCATCACTTTGGGAGGCCTAGATGGGAAGATCGCTTGAAGCCAGGAGTTCCAGACCAGCCTGGGCAACATAGTGAGACCTCTCATCTCTACAAAATCACAAAAATTAGTCCCGAGTCTGTAGTCCTACCTACTCAGGAAGCTAAAGTGAGAAGCTTGCGCCCAGGAGGTCGAGGCTGCAATGAGCTATGATCGCGACACTGTACTCCAGCTGGGGAGAGACAGCAAGACTCTGTCTCAAAAAAAAAAAAAAAAAAAGTCCAAACAAAATCTACGGATGAGCCCCAGGAGCTCATTTTGCCCAGGGACTACAGTCCCCCCATCCCATGAATGGGGTCTGGCGTGCACAAGGACTGCAGAGGCCTCGGCCTGTCCTGTGACAACGTTAAGTCCAAGCGCGCCAAAAGGGGATGGTAGAGGAGTCATCCCCCGAATCTGCTGGGACCCAAGAGGTGGAGGGTTGGCTGTTCCTCCAGACTCACTAAGGCTACGGCATCGCCTCCCGACGGCCGCCCGGAGGAGCCAGGCGTCCCGGTTGTCGCGCTGGGAAGGCTGGGGTCCGGGGAAGTCAGTCTCCCCGACCTGCCTTCCCACAAGTTCGAGGTCCCAGGAGCCTCCTCCAGGACCCCGTAAACGCACGGAGTCGAGGAACTCCCAGTCCTGCCCGGCCCCAACGCCCACTCGCACGAGCCCCACCGGCACTCACCTTCTCTAGCTGCGAAAGCTCCCTTCACCCGGGAGACAGTGACTTCCGACTCCTGCCGGAAGCGGAAACCCCTCTCCTCCTTTCAGGTCCTGGCCACCCCTAGCTGGGACAGCCCGGCAAATAGGCCTTGCCTCCTTCGCCGGTGCTTTGAGCGCACGCGTACTCAAATAGGAGCGCTCCGACGGGGGCGCAGTGCGCCTGCGCAAGCATCGGTGCGTATTTGCCTGTAGCTGCGCGCATTGCAAGTACTTCTGGTCAGCTCCCAAGAACGGCAAGTGAGGAATATGAAATACCCTTATGGCTAAATCAGGGTGAAGGGGAAGCTTGTAAGCTTGGGAGACGCTCTGCTCAAACTAAAAAGTTCAGGTTCTGATCCAGCAGATGAAGAGGGAGGTCTGAGAAGCTGCAGTGCTAACTCGCTCCCAGGTGACTTCCATGCTGCCGATCCGCAGACCATATTTTGAGTGCCCAGATTGTAATAGATGAAGTTGAGTGGACAGGCTGGGGCCAGATTCCATGGAGCCTCGTGGGCTGTTTTAAGGACTTTTATTTTTTATTTTTATTTTATTTTATTTTATTTTTTTGAGACGGAGTCTCACTCTGTCGCCCAGGCTGGAGTGCAATGGCTCGATTTTGGCTCACTGTAACCTCCGCCTCCCAGGTTCAACTGGTTCTCCTACGTCAGCCTCCCGAGTAGCTGGGATTATAATTATAGGCGCCGGTCACCGCGCCACGCTTATTTTTGTAGTTTGGTTTTTTGTCCTTTTTTTTTTTTTTTTTTTTTTTTTTAGTAGAGATGGGGTCTCACCCTCTTGGCCAGGCTGGTCTTGAACTCCTGATTAGAGGCGTGAGCCACCGCGCCCGGCCAAGGACTTTTATTGGTTTTTGTTTTTGTTTTTTTCTGAGACAAGGTCTTGCTCTGTCGCCCAGGCTGGAGTGCAGTTGCGTGATCTCGGCTCACTGCAACCTTAGCCTCCCGAGTTCAAGCGATCCTCCTGCCTCAACCTCTTGAGTAGCTGTGATTACAGGTGCGCACCACCATGCCTGGCTAATTTTTGTATTTTTAGTAGAGACGTGGTTTCACCGTGGTGGTCAGGTTGGTCTCAAACTCCTGACCTCAAGTGGTCCACCCGCCTCGGCCTCCCAAATTGTTGGGATTACAGGCGCGAACCACTACGCCTGGCCTGAAAAAGATATTTCAAGATGGAGAGAGAGAGGGATTAGCTGTGTCACATGTCCCCGAGTTGAAGAAGATGAGGAAAGAGAATTGACAGTTGAGTTTGGCAAGGGTCTGGTCCCTGGAGACCTTGATAACAGCTGTTGCATTAGAGTGTTCAGGAAAATAATTTGTAATGAAATGTATTTCAGATACAGGTGCTCCTTGACTTACGATGGAGTTACATCCTGGTAAACCTATCGTAATAAAGTTGAAAAACCTTAGAACTGACAACTCAGGGACTGTCTGTAGAGGGATCTCTAGGATATCCCCTAGGGGGCAGTGTTACCCTGGGAACTGTCAAGTGTAACCAGTAGAACTGCCCTCCTGTGAGAGACCCTTTTTCAGTGCTGGTGCAAACTAGAATACACACAGGATGGAATCATACTATACAGTTACTGTGCAACTTGCTATTTCCACTTAACCATCTATACACGTATACCTAACTCTTGTTTTTAGTAGCTACAGAATTCATCGTGCGACTCTGCCATAGTATAATCAACCGTTATCCTACTGATGGACAATTCCTGGACCTTCCTGAGTTTTGCCACTATGATGATGCTGTAAAGGTCCCTGAATCAATATCCCTAAGACTGGATCTTTAGTGAAGCATAGTTTTCAAAAAAACAATTTGGGGCCGGGCCGGTGGCTCAAGCCTGTAATCCCCAGCATTTGGAGCCACTGTGATCCACATCAGGAATCGAGACCATCCTGGCTAACATGGTGAAAAACCCCGTCTCTACTAAAAAATACCAAAAACTAGGCCGGGGTGGTTGGGCGGCGCCTGTAGTCCCCAGTACTCGTGAGGCTGAGGCGGGGAGAATGGCGTGAACCCGGGGAGGCGGAGCTTGCAGTGAGCCGAGATCGCCACTCATCCGCCTGGGCGACACAGCGGAGTTCCTGGTTCAAAAAAAATAAATTCCATAAATCCCAACAAATATAAAATAATTAATAAAAAACTGTATTGTTGTGATCGATAGCAAGAGTTCACCCTGGGTAATCCCAGCACTTTTGGGAGGCCGAGGCGGGAGAACTGCTTGAGCCCAGGAGTTTGTTAGGCTAGCAATGGGCAACATAGTGAAATCTCTGTCTTAAAATAAAAATAAAATAAAATAAAATAAAATAAAAATAACAATAAATGCGATGGGGGCATGGCTGGCTCACACCTATAATCCCAGCACTTTTTTGTTTTTGCTTTTTTTTTTTTTTTTTGAGATGGAGTCTCTCGCGCTCTATGGACCCAGGCTGGAGTACAGTGGCATGATCTGCGGCTCACTGCAATCCTCCACCCCAGATTCAAACGCAATCTCTCTGCCTCGCTGTCCCTGAGTGAGCCTAGGATTACAGGCGTGCACACATACCCAGTAATTTTGTATTTTTCAGTACAGATGGGCGTTTCACAGTGTGGCCAGGCTGGTCTAACTCCCTGGCCATCATGATTTGCCGCCTTGGCTTCCCAAAGTCTCTGAGCATTACGGCGATGAACCACTGTACCTGGTCGCATCCAGATTTGGTGAGGCCAAGACGGGTGGATAACCTGAGATCGGGTGGTTCAAGACTCAGCCTCGATGGCCAGGCGCAGTGGCTCAAGCCTGTAATCCTAGCACTTTGGGAGGCAGAGGACGGGCGGATCACAAGATCAGGAGATCGAACGCCATGGCTAACACGGTGAACCCCCGTCCTCTACTAAAATAACAAAAAAACTAGCTGGGGCAGGTGGCGGGTACGACTGTAGTCCCAGCTACATGGGCAGGCTGAGGCAGGGAATGGCGGTAAACCGGGAGCGGAGCTTTGCAGTGAGCTGAGATCCGGCCACTGCACCCCCAGCCTGGGCGACAGAGCAAGACTCTGTCTCAAAAAAAAAAAAAAAAAAAGACTAAGCACTGACCAACATGTGAAACCTTGTCTCTACTAAAAATAAAAAATTAGCTGGGCTGATGGGCAGGGCTCCGTGTAAATTCCCAGCTACTCAGGAGACTGAGGCAGAGAATCACTTGAACCTGGGAGGCAGAGGTGCAGTGAGGCCAAAGTTCACGCCACTGCATTCCAGCCTGGGGCAACAATGAGCAAAACTCTGTCTCAAAAAAAAAAAAAAAAAAGACATTTGAGTCACAGGATGTATATATCTTTCATTTTGTTAATGATTGCCACATTAGTTTTCTCTTTTTCTGTCCTTTCGTCCCTTCCCTCTCTTACTGCCCTCCTTCCCAGCTTTGTTGGGATGTAATTGACTGAACACAAACTGCTCATATTTAAACCATGCCTGGCCGAAATTGCATGTTTTGACATACAGGTATATCATTAAAACATGTCCATAATCAAGACAATTATTTCCATCACCCTAAGAAACTTCCTCTTACCAGTGGCCGAACATGATGGCTCATGCCTGTAATCCCAGCACTTTGGGAGGCCGAGGTGTGGAGGCACCGGAGGGTGTTGCGAACACGTGGAAGACGCAGGGTTTGAGACCAGCGTGCGGCAACACGGATGAAACCCCTTGTAGGCTCTGATACTACTTCATGTCAAAAATTAGCAGAGTAGTGGTACATGCTGTAGTCCACAGGCTACTCGGGAGGCTAGAGCTGGAGAATTGCTTGAACCCGAGAGGTGGAGGTTGCACTGTGCGCCCCTGCACTCCAGCCTGGCGACAGATCAAGACTCAGTTTTAGAAAAAAAAGAAAATGAAAAATTTTCTCTTTTTTTTTTTTTTTTTTGAGACGGAGTTTTGTTTTTGTTTTTTTTTTTCTCGCGGCCTCTGGTCGCCCCAGGGCTGGAGGTGCAGTGGGCCCAAGATCTCAGCTCACTGCAAGCCTCCGCCTCAGCCCCGGGGTTCACGCATTCTCGGCACTCGGACTCCCGAGTAGCTGGGATACAGGGCGCCGCCACCTCGCGCCGGCTGTTAGTGTTTTTGTAGTTTCTAATTAGAGATGGGGTTTCACTGTGTTAGCCAGGATGGTTTCGATCTTCCTGACCTCGCTAATCCGGCCCTGTCTCGGGGCCCGTCCAAAGGTGCTGGGTTACAGGCTTGAGCCACCGGGCCGCCCGCGGCCTGGTTTTTTTTTTGTTTTTTTGGATGGCGGAGGGTTTCCCCTCTGTCGCGCCAGGCTGTGGGAGGTGCAGCTGGCCGTGAGTCTCAGTCACTGCAGCTCCGCTCCCGGGGTTTGACGCCATCGTGCCCTGCCTCAGCGCTCCGGAGTACTGGTTAGGACCCGCCAGACGTCGGGCGAAGCCGCGCTAGATTTTCGTATGTTTGTTAGTAGAGACGGGGTTTCACCGGTTTGTAGGCCAGGATCGGTCATTGATCTCCTGGACTTGTTGATCCGCCCATCTCGCTCCCAAAGTCTGGCTGGGAATTACATGCGTGAAGCCACCGGCCGCCCGGCTCAGATTAATTTTCTGCTCTGCTTTTGGCTGCTCTGGCCCTACCTCCAGGCCCCTGGCCCTAAACTGATTTGTTTGGCTTCTATAACTTTGTCTTTTCAGAAGTCGTATAAGCTGACTTCAGACAAGATGTGTAGCCTTTTGGGGTTGGGCTTCATTGTCCCCAGCGATATTGAGTTCTGAAACTCACTCATTTTTCGCCAGCCTTTGGGAGGCAAGGCGGGTGGATTGCTTTGAGGGTCAGAGGTTTCAAGCAGGGCCTGGGCCAACATGGTTAAAACCCCGTCTGCTACTAAAAATTAGAAAGAATTACCAGGCCTGTTGGTGTTGGTGGCTGTAGAATCCCAGGTTACTTGGGAGGCTGAGGGCAGGAGAATCACTTGAACCAGGGAGACAAGAGGTTGCAGTGATGCCGGGATCACGACTGCGCTCCAGCCTGGGTGACAGCAGACCCAGACTCTGTCTCA